CAAGCCTGTAGAGTTGCCTGTGGTGCCTGCAGCCACGAGCACAGCACTGCTGTGATCCATGTGAGTGGCTTCTGCTGGAGCTGGGACAACCCACTGCCTGCCCTGGCAGCAAGGTGCTGACTTTGCGATAATTGGCTTCCCATGGTATCTGCACGTTACTGCAAGACAAATCCGAGTCCTCTGCCTGCTGAGGATTTTGTACCGGGGGTGGCAGCTAAGCACCTGCAGTGTTTGAAGAGCAGCCCTGTGGGCAGCCCAGGGGGAGGCAACCTGGCTCCCTGCCTGGCCAGCTGCAAACTCTGCAAAAATCAATACATCTAATTATTAAGACCTTATTGCTACGGTGTTGGTCAGATATTCTCATAATCACACACAGGATTGTATTCAATCACGTATTTAGAGCCAATATTCAATCAACTGATTAGAGCCAAAATCAAATCTTGGCTCTAAAATGTGTTTTAAGATGGAATTACACAATGTCTATAATACTTGTCATACCCAATGCTATGGGGAAGGTTTTCATGCACTACCAAGCAGCTTTGAGTTTCAGATTGACAGTCAGTTATTACAAAACTACACCTTGTTTTCTGTGCTGCCCTGCATGCAAGCCCCGAGTGAGGAGCAGATGAAGATTTTGGTTGGATATCAGGGAGAAGTACTTTACTATGAGAGTGGTGGAACAGGTTGCCCAAGGAGGCTGTGGATGCCCCATCCCTGCAGGCATTCAAGGCCAGGCTGGATGTGGCTCTGGGCAGCCTGGGCTGCTGGTTGGCGACCTGCACACAGCAGGGGTTGGAGCTGGAGGAGCGCTGTGGGCCTTTGCAACCCAGGCCATGCTGGGATTCTGTGGTTCTACCAAGTTGAGCAGTGTGTCATTGAAGTGTGAGCAGGCTCCCTGGTCACCTACTCTGGCTTACAGAGGCACAGATCAGAAGGCTCTGCAGTGTTTGTTCTTTTTAACATTACAAAACCATGTCAATATTTACAAAACAAAGAACAGGAAAGCCAGATTTCCCTTCCCTCAGGCAACCCCACCCGGCCAGTCCTGTTTCCTAACTTTATTGACCAGTTCTGTGCCAAGCTCTGCTGCCATAATGGTCACTTCGGAAGCCTCTGAGCATATTCAGTGTAAGAAATTAGGGCTGTACGGATTGCTTTGCTTCCTACCCTTTGGAGGAAAGCTGCAGGGAAGGAGCAGTGCCTGCCTTCGGGGACACAGTGCTGAATGAGAGCCAGTTTGGAGAGAAAAGTTTAAGTACAGTCACGGCGCAGGGAGGTGCAGTGAGTGCAAGCAGGGCTGTGCTCTGGGCGCTGCGACACCTGGGGGCAGCGGGCAGTGCTGTGCCAGGGAGGGCTCTGGTCGTTCATTCTTATGCAGCTTATAGCAGTCAGAGAGCCCTAAAGGAGCATCCCTTCCTGGTAAGCCTCGGACCTGCCCCTCTCAGCTTCCAGCTGTCCCTAGAGACACAGCCGGTCTGTGAGAGCGGGGACGCGCGGCCCGCAGCGCCGCCAAGCGCGGCGCCCACCTTTGCTGCGGCCAGACGTTCTCATAGGCGGCGCGCGCGCGCGCGCGCCCCCTGCCGGCAGCGCCCCGAACTGCAGGCCGCGCCGAGGGAGCGCCAGAGCGCCTTCCGGCCCGCCCTGACACCGCCGGTCCGCCAGCCAATAGCCGCTAAGCCCCGCTCCTATGTCCCGCCCCCGGCGCCCTCTCGGCCAATGGCGGCGAAGCGCGCTCGGGAGGCTCTGCCCCGCGCCGTGCCGTTACCGCATAGCCGGCGTGGGGCGGCCCGTGCGCGGCGAGGGGGGCCGAGCTGGTTCGGCGCGCCCAGACGGTAACTCGCGTATTTACGGAGCTGCGTACGCCTGCCGTAACGGGACGGCGCCGCGTGCGTTGCGCTCCTCCTCCTCCTCCTCCTCCTCCGCCCCTCCGGGGCCGCCCATGGGCTCACCTGCTGCCCGGTCGCCGTCCGCCGCACCGCTGCACACTCGGAGAGGCTACTGCCGTCTACGCGGGGCGCGATGGGCTCCGTGCCGGAGCTGCCCGGTCCCGGGGCCGCCGTCTCGCTGCAGGTCCGGGCCGTGGACGTGCGACCGACGGCGCCCGTGGTGCGGCTGTGGGGAGCGCTGGGTGAGCGCCGCGCGGAGCGCGTCCGGCCGTGCGCCGACAGCCGGGCGGCGGTGGAGAGCGAGCGTGCAGCCGGACGGCTGGCGGGAGGCGCGGAGCTTCGCGCCGGGGAGCTGGGGCTGGTGGAGCTGGCCGGGCTGTGGCACCGCTGCCGGGTGCTGAGCGGCCGCGGCCGCGGCCGCCGCGTGTTCCTGCTCGACGAGGGTCGCGCGGTGACGGTGTCCGCCGAGTACCTGGCGCGGGGCGGCCCGGAGCTGTTCGGTCCGCCGCCCGAGGCGCTGGGCTGCGTGGTGGCCGACCTGGTGCCGCCCGGGAGCCCCGCGGCCGGAGCGTGCGGAGACGCGTCGAGCTCCGCCTGGACGGAGGAGGCGATGGAGCTGCTGCGCTGCCTGCACGGCAAGGAGCTGCCCGGCATCGTGCGGGAGCTGCTGGTGCCGCAGCGGCTGCTGGTGCTGGAGCTGCCCTTGCTCGTGGCTCAGATGCGGCGGCTGGGCCTGGCCGGGCACACGTCTCCAGGCGCCTTCGGCCAGCTGCTCCGGCGCTGCCTGCCGCGCGAGGCCGAAAGTGGCGCCTCCCCTGCCCACCTGTGCGACGGCGAAGGAGAGCCGGCGGCCCCGTGCGGGCAGAGCTACGTGGAAATGAGGCCCGGTCCCTCCTACGGGGGTCAGCTGGAAGTGGGATGTACGGTCGATGTGGTTGTAACGTGTGCTGAGAGCCCCGGTTATTTCTGGTGCCAGTTGAAGAAGTGCAGTGAGTTCACTGCGTTGATGGCTGAAATCCAGGAGTACTGTGAGAGCGTGTCCCAGCCGCACGCCTGGCCTCAGTCGGCGTGCTTGGCCCAGTACTCAGAGGACAAACGGTGGTACAGGGCTTTAATTGTCAGCGATGTCAGTCCTGCGGGTGAAGTTGAGGTCATGTATGTGGACTACGGCAACAGGGAGCTGGTGTCCCTAACGAGTCTCTGCTCCATTAACGAGCGCTTCCTCGAGCTGAAGGCTCAGGCCTTCAGGTGCAGCCTTTACAACCTAATCCACCCTAATGGTCCGGACCCGTTTGTTTGGGATGAAGCTGCAATCCTGGCTTTCCAGGAGTTTGTCGATGCCTCCTCAAATCAGTTTGAACTGCAGTGTACCATATTTGCCTTGGCTTCGAGGAACAACAGGGAGCTGTTCAACATCGTAGATTTAATGACGCCTTTCCAGAGCGCATCCCAATTTCTGACAGACAGAGGTGTGGCCAAACGTCTGCCGCCTCAAACGCCTCTGGCAGCCTCCGTTCGACTGCATTCTTTCTATTATTCCATGCACGAGATCAAAATCGGGAGTGAAGAAGATGTTTTTATTACGCACGTTGATGATCCTCAGACATTTTACTGCCAACTTGAAAGGTGTGCGAATGTCCTGTTGCAGCTCAGTGAAAACGTTTCTCGTCTCAGAGGAACGACGTCAGGCTTAGAAACCTGGCAGAGGTTTGGTGAGTTGTGTCTCGCCAGGTATACTGACAGCTACTGGTACCGGGGGGTCCTTACAAAAACAAAACCCACCAAGGAAGTCTTTTTTGTGGATTTTGGGAACACAGAGACCATTGAAGAAGATCATCTGCTTCCTATTCCGGGTGATGCTCATGATATCTTGCTTTTGCCAATGCAGGCCATAAAGTGTTCCTTGGCTGACGTACCTAATGTTCCCCAGGAAGCTACAGCGTGGTTTAAGCAAGCTGTCCTTGAAAGGCAATTAAAAGCAACTGTTGTAGCAAAAGAATCCGGTGGTAAACTGTTGATTGAGCTGTTTGATGGTAACATGCAAATCAATGCAAAATTGAAGGAGGAGTTCAGATTAAGAAACAATGCAGAAGTGTGTAGGTGTGTAAGGAGTACAGCTCTGTACTGTAGTATGGATATGGAAAAGAGGAATGGGGATGCACACTCTCCTCCAAATGCAGGAGAAAGTGAAAACTGCAGACCTGAAGCCCAAGGAGGAGAGAGGAGTAGCAAAATGCAGGTCAAAGAGAAAGATGTAAACCTTCTCCAGCCTGCTGCAAAGAGAGAATGGGCTGCTGGGTTACTGGCGTATGAGGGGAAGGTCAGCAGTAAGAAAGATGCTCTGTTAAATAAGGTGGAGGAAATGCAGTCTCTGCTCTGTGCCGAGATGGATGCAGAGTTGGATAATAAATGTGATACTGAAAGCAGTTGTGTGCTGCTGAAGCGTGTAACTGATCTGCCACAGCAGAGCGTGGTGCCGGCTCTCACAGCGTTGGCATATGTCTCCTATGTAAATAATCCTTTAGATTTTTATGTTCAACTGGCAAGTGATGAGGCTCAACTTCACAGCGTTTCAGAATGCTTAAAGGATGAAATGCTAGCAAAGATCCCCTGCGGGCAGCTCTTGCAAGCTGGGGACTTAATCTGTGCTCTGTATTCAGACGACAGCCTGTGGTACAGGGCAGTGGTAAAAGAGAAGGCTTCTGACCATTTGATTAGCGTCCGATATATTGATTATGGTAATACTTCAGTAGTTGATGTTGATCAAGTGCGCAGGCTCCCTGAAGACTTAGAATCTATTCCAGCAATAGGCATTCACTGCTTCCTAGGTGGGCTTAAATGCAAAACGAGTACAGGCTGGGCAGAGAAAGCAGCTCCTTGCTTCACGAAGAGGGTAAGTGAGGCTCTGCTAACATGTGAATTTGTGGAGGAGGTTGATGGTAAATGGGGAGTTATTCTGAGTGATGATCAAGGTGAAATAACAGTGGATTTAGTTGATGAAAGTTCTTATTCAAATGGAATGCTTGATAGAAGTGATGTGATAAATACGTGTGAGCCTTCGTCTCCTGGGGTGCAAAATGAAGCTTCCTGTGACTGTACATCACTTACCTGGAAGTTCCCCGAGGCAGGCCAGACTGTACATGTTTATATCACGGTGGTGAATGGTCCAGACTATTTTTGGAGTTGCAGTGCTGATGAAAAAAACATGACCTACATAGAGGAAAAAATAAAGGAAGCCGAAAACCTTGGACTAAACTCTATGGACAGCTGCATTAAAAGCGGTGATATTTGCCTAGCAAAGTACAGCGAGGATGGGAAGTTCTACAGAGCTAAGGTCAGCAGCGTGAAGGGCAACGATGTAGCTGTTATCCATGTGGACTATGGAAGTGAGGAGACTGTTAGCTTGGAGATGCTCAAAGCAATTCCAAGTGAATTGCTTCAGGTGCCTAATCAAGCATTTGCTTGCTGTCTGTCAGGTTTCAGTCCCTCAGAGGGCTCGTGGCTTAGTGAAGCCAAAGACAAGTTTTATGATATGACTGTAGAGCTCCTACTAGAAGCTGAAGTTCTTGGAACCCAGGAGAATAAAGCTTTTGAAGTCCCTCTGTGTGCTGTCAAACTGGAGTCTCCTGGGAGGAATATTAACGAAGAGATGAAATCTTTTTGGAAGGCTGATGTGGGAAGCGGTCACAAAGATATTCCAGACCCTGAGGGTTCCTTAGAAGGAAACAGAAGTTCAAACAGTGATGCGGGTCTTTATCTCAAAAGAGAAACTGCTACCTGTGGATTAGCTCGAGAAGTGAGGGAAAGTGCTTTGCTTTGTTCCCAGTGCTCCTTGGGTGAACCTTGTGGGTGTTCAGGTGGGTCTGAAGCAAAAGTGTCTGCTGAGTCTCAGGAGGTGGCTGGTGGACGTGAAACAGCTGAGCATCGAAGCAGCTTTGATAAAGAGACTGCTCCACTGGAAGATGAGAGCAGTAGCAAAGTATTATTAGGGCCAAGAGGAAGCTGCAGTCTTCACAGTTTGGGAGGTGGAATGAAATCTGCACTACAAGAGCCACCTGAATTACTGTTTCTGCAGGATGCTGAGGTGAAGGCAGAAGGCAAGGCAGCCAGCCCTTTGCCAGGAAATGGAGAAGAGCTGATGGGATGGCTCCAGGTAGAGCCTTCGATGGGTGATACAACAGAGGCACTGATCGAACTAGTTGAATTACAAATGCACTCTTCTTATGATGATTTGAAAGAGTTGATACTGGAGCTGGAGGAAATAGCAGCACTGCCCTCAGTCACTGATGAGATGAAGGAAGCACTTGAAACAGAGGCACTTGGAATGCAGACTGCTTCAGGCAGTGAAGCGAGAGAGAAAGTGCTGGAAGTACATGAGCCCCTGCTCCTGTGTGAGGAGATGGGGCACTCAGCACTCCTGCAGTCTGGAACCTTGCCTTCACTTAGTGAGGGAGAGAGCTCAATGCCCTCTGTTAGTGATGCAGGGAAGACAGCAGAGCTGTTTCCTTCTGATTCTCTGCCTCTGAGGCAGACTGCAGAGGTGCTGGGATTGAATTGCTCTGGGGTTCGTGGAGCAGAAGCTGTGCAAGAAGACTGGATGGAAGTAGAGCCTCCCCTCATGCTGCCTTCATCTGATGGTAGACCTGAGGAACAACCAAAGGCCCCTGATACGCTGGCAGCAGTAAGTGCCGAGATTGATCAGCTTCTGGATTTGCACAAGAAAGATGAGTGTTATGTGAAAGAATGGACGCAGCAAGACATGGAGGAGTTGTTTAAAGAATGTGGAAGCACACCTACACACATGCAGTCTTCAGACTGTAAACCTAGTGAAGAAGCAGGAAAAAAGCAAAGTGATAACATGGCTGACTATAGTGCAGGTAGAGTATCTGATTTTCAGGGGCTAAGTAATCAAAATATTCATTTAAACATGAAAATAGCTTTCCTATAGAAATCTGATTTATTCCCTAGTAAGCTGTGAGGACTTTATGTTAGCAGTAACTTCAGATGGGTTGTGAAAAGCAGAATGTTTAGTATCTCATAGGTAACGCAGCAGTCAGTCTTTGAGAGGTTGATGTATTCTTGTTTAGAGGTTGGTACATTTTCAAGGCTGTTCAGTATAACAGATTGCTGGCTTCCAATTACTTATTAATTAAAATAGTTTGGAGGGCTGCTGGGGGACTGTGGGGCAGTAGTGAGGGAGCTGAGTCTTTTGATTTGCTTTCCTTCTCCATTCATACATCACAAGGAGGGCAGATTGAGGTTGGATGTCAGGGGAAGTTGTGTGCTGTGAGAGCAGTGAGGTGCTGGAACAGCTGCCCAGAGAGGCTGTGATGCCCCGTCCATCCCTGGAGGTGTTCAAGGCCAGGTTGGATGGGGCCCTGGGCAGCCTGGGCTGCTGTGAAATGGGGAGGTTGGTGGCCCTGCATGGCACAGGGGGGTTGGAGCTTCGTGATCCTTGAGGTCCCTTCCAACCCAGGCCATTCTGTGGTTCTGTGATGTTGCAGGATGCAGTGGATATACTTGTAAGCTGAAGGGCTTTGCTGTTGGCTCCAAGTGTGTGGTGTGGACATCTCAGCAGTGGTGCGAGGCTCTGATTTTGGAGGTATCTGAGAAGGGCACCAGGGTAAGTATGACTGAGTGCTCCTTGCTGTAGTTGTTAAGACATGGACCTTCTTTTGTCTTATGGCAAACTTTTCAGAAGTCTGCTGCAGGGAAAAAAAAAAAAAAAACTTAGTAATGCAAAGTGTGATTCTGGGCTTCTAGGCTAGATAGAAACAGCCATCTCATCCTGAATGGATGCTCTCTCAGTACTTGATATTGCCTTCACAATCTTTCTCACCTTCATGGTCTGTGAGGACAGAAAGATGTGTCCCTGGTTTCTGGGATGTTTCCTGGTGTAGTTCTGTTATGTTGGGATTGCGACTTAGCATTTAGCTTTGAAGCTGTGTTACCATTAAATGCCCATGAAACTTGGCATCTTTTTACTGATTCGTTAAGGAATTAGTGTTAAAACGGTGAAAACTTGGAAAGAAATTCAAATTGTAGCATGTATTATGACTGACATACAACTACTCTTACTGCCATGAAATAGGCATCTTGGCTGGGTGTATGGCTGGTGGGAGTTAACGTGAACACTGCGTTACAGCAGACAGGGCTGCCTTGTGCTTCCGTTCTTAAAGCTGGAGTCAGTTTGTGAATGGGTTGTGATTCTTCCTCCAGCCTGGGGTGTGTGTGTATGCACAGACACGTGTCTATACATACACAGACATCGTATGTCTATAAAAGTTCCTTGAACTGTAATTTGCAATTGCAAATTCAAGTGATTATTTCATGACAGTAACTCTGAAAGGCTGAATGCTTGAGGTTGTAGAAGCCAAGTCCATCGCTAGTAAATTCCTTAGCTATCTAAGGCTGATCCAGCTGCTTGTAGGTGATGAATGTCAGATTATAGGGTGGCATCTCTTTTAATCTGCCTCCTGCTGGCTCTGATTGATGCTTTCCAGCCTTTCTCTCTCACAATACCTGGATTAGCATCCGAGGAGAGGTTTGAGCTAGGGTGCTGTAGAGGGAACCAAATGTGACGTACTTCAACAGTGAATCTAATTTTAAAAAGAAAATCAGTAGTGATAGTCAGGTTTATTAGTGGCTAATTATATCTTGCTTAGAAGATCCAGATGGAAAGCATTGTAGGAGGTGAGGAATCCTTAGCTGTGTTTTTTCTACTGCTGTGTTTTCTTTGAATGTATTCTCAGGCTGCACATAGTTGGCTCTGTCCATACAGGTACTGAATCTCTGCAGTGGCAGTGAGGAGATTGTAGATCCTGAGAACGTCTGGAACGTTATTCCCAGCTGGGCTGGCAGATCACCTGAGGTATGGTGCTCCTTGTCCTGTCACTGCACACCACCAAGAGCCTGGCCTCATCCATTTCTCTCCACCTCCCTTTAGATATTTAGAAACATTGATCAGACCCCTCCTCAGCCCTCTTTTCCCCAGGCTGAACAGCCCCAGCTCACTCAGCCTTTCCTCATACAGGAGATGCTCAGGGCCCTTCATCATCTTTATGGCCCTCTGCTGGACTCCTTCTAGGAGATCCCTGTCTTTTTGGAACTGGGGAGCCCAGAACTGGGCACAGTGGTCTAAATGTGGCCAAACAGAACAGAGGGGGAGGATCACCTCCCTCGACCTGCAGGCCATGCTCTGTTCATCAAAGGATGCCACTGGCCTTCTTGGCCCCAGGGCACACTGCTGGCTCATGGACAGCCTGTTGTCCACCAGGACACCCAGGTCCTTCTGGGGAGCAGAGCTCCTCTCCAGCAGGTCAGTCTCTGACTTGCTCCTAATCATGGTAGCATAGCATATAATTGGTAGGTAATGGAAAATACTTATATTGCTAACTAATTAGGAAATGGTAAAGTTTTCTACAACTTCAGGTAGCACCAACCAATGAAAAACTCATATTTGGAACTCAGAATTGAGGTTTTCAGCTGTGCTGCTGATGGTGATAGCCCAATGAATGTTTAGTTGATCATTCATATGTAGTTTTTGCATCAAATTAAAAATGAGCAGAAGATATCTATAATGACTTTAGGGTGAGGGGCAGTGGGGGGGGGAAGCAGTGCCAGAGTGTCCAGCAAGACTGAAGTAAAAAGTTAATCTAATTCTACAAGAAACAGGGAAGAATGGAGAATATTTTGGCAATCGTGCAGACTTCCTAACAGAATCCCCTTCTGTTTAGAGAACTACTCATGTGACAGAAGATGTGCTGTCCCTGCCAGAGGAATCTTTACTTCAAGGTAAGACTGCCTTGAGCACCTCAAAGAGGTTGGATGCTCAGGGACTGGATGCTTTCTAATTCCAGTAAATGCTCATACATCTTTGATTTTTATTGAGAAATTTTGAAGTGAAATACCTGTTCTGTTTACCACAGGACGTAGGACAGGTTCTTCTAATCATGCACAGTTGCTGTAATCTATGGAACTGTAGAGCAGTTCTGGTTGAAAGGAGTTTTTGAAAGGCCTTTGTTTTCCTGTGCCTGCTCAAAGCAGTGTCAAATAGATCAGGTTGCTTAGGGCCTTCCGTTCAGGTCTGGATCGATCCAAGGATGGAGTCTGCAGAAGCTCTCTGAGCAACCTGTGTTTCACCCATGGGAAACTGTATTTCAGTACAGTGCTGAATGGACTTGTCTGTGAATAGCAAACAGTGAAGCCTGCAGCAGTGCTGTGTTAGGCAAGAAGGGATTTGAGAGAGCTTGATTAGGAAGTTGGACTGGTGAACCCTCAAATCAGTCCATTCTCATTTGCACCATGCAAACGCAGGCTTACCCTCTTGCTGTCTCTGGTGTGATATGCTTACAGTTCTCACGACTTCCTTTAAGTGTTCTTTTTCCTCCGGGCCCAGTAATTATTACTGTCCAAATTTCTCTCTCAATTCTTGAGTGCTTTGATGGTCTCCAATCAGTATGTCCTCTTAGCAAGAGCTGAGTTAGCGTTAGTGAAGGCCGCACAGCCACGTGTGGTGGAAGTGGAGCGTGATGCACACCTGTGCAATTGGCTGCAAGGGCACTTGGAGTAGGAGGGAGCTGATGGACAGGGTGCAGAAGCTCCAACAGTGGCTGCTGATGCACCCAGTGAGGGCTGGAGTGGCTTTGAACTCTACCTGCGCTCTGAGAGCACTGTTCCTGATCTGCTTGAACACTTCAGTTGTTGGAGATGAATTGTCGTTACACTGAACTAAGTGTAGCCTTTTAGTGTGGTCCAACAAGCTGATAATGTTTGGTCTGAAGGCTTGTAGGTGACTGCGATTTCAAATAATGCATTTATACATGTTTATGGGAACGTCTTTGTGCATCTGATCTGTTGTTTTTTCTCCATAGAAGAGCAAAGTGGCTGCAGTTCAGCTAGATCTGAAGATCCTCATGTTCTCCAGCCTTTCTGAGAAAGAACTTATTTACCACATGAGGTGTAATAAGTCTCTGCATGCACATCCATTCCCACAAAAATGGGTTTTTATAGGAAATATACAACCAACGCACTTGGGTGTTCTACACAACTGAGCAAATGCCTGGTACTGCCACACCTCCTTGTCATGAACAGTGGTTGGTGGGAGACTGGTGCTGTCTGTTGGGCGTTTTAAAACTGTGCCTTAATCAAACAGTGTGCCTCGACAGGCATCCCTTACTGAATGCTGGTGTGGCACTAACTTATGCCTAGCTGATAGTGGGTTCTTGATGAAGAGCTTCCCGTGAGCTGCTGTGGTGATATCTGCTGTTGCATTGGTTTGGTTTTGTTTCTTTAGGTTTAGGAAAATTCAGAGTATTTTTGAGGGAAGTTTTTTCCTCTGTAGCGAAATGAAGTTGTTCAGGGCTGAAGCCTTGCATTTTGTGTCATTACAAAGCAATTAAGAAGCTGGAATAAAGCTTGTGCTGGCAAATGCTGTTTAGTGCTTTCTTTTCCAATGGCCAAATACTGTGTGTGCCAAGGATATTTGTTCACCTGTACCACACTCAGATGCAGCCGTGCACGTCCTGCAGTTCATGGTTCTGCTTTGACCCCCAGGTAGTTCTCTAGAGCACTGTGAGCCATGCTGAGCCTTTTGAACCACTACACCATTGGTACAAAACAGAGCTGGTACTCTTAGCACAGCCTTAATGGCACTCACTGAACACGAGGCCTTTCCTCCAGATGTGATGATCCAGCAGGATGGCTCCCACACAGTGGGGTAAGGACTTGTACCGCTAGCTGCAGCTTACCGTGCATTTCAGTTTTGTCATGTTTGTTCTCCATGCTTCTGGATAGCACAGCTTCTTCAGTCTCTTTGGAGGTTGCCACACTGACTTACAAACACCAGGTGTTGTAATGGGCTTTCTGAGTGCTACAGGAGATCTCAAGCATTAGTGCTGGCTCAGTAAGAGAAACACGTGTGTTGATGCTCTTGGTAGAGACAAGACACAGTAGTAGGCTGTAAAGAATTTAATTCTGAAAAACAGACTGCAGCTGTCACTGCAATCTCATGTTAAGATCAGATTTATATAAAATACTTCATTAGTGTTAACTGCTCTGCCTGCATCTTGTTTGTACCCTTATTTTGGAACAAACAGCTTACAGTCAGTAGTAGTCAGTCCCCCTCTATGAGTCCTTCCTTGTAGCAGCTCCAAGCAGTTTTGCTCTGGAAAGCAGAGCTGCATTTGGCCATTCACAGCCCACTGTATCTGCTGGCACCTGAACAAAGGTGAACATATGGAGGGTATTGCAACTGTGTGAGCCATCACTGCAGTCAAACACTGGTTGTGTCCCCCTTTTTAAAGGGAGCAAGTAGCAGCAGTGTGCATCTATTCCAGTGTAATCAGCAGCAGTACCAGTGATGGCGGTGATACAGGGAGTGATAGGGGAGGCCCTGCTGTAAAAGCTCTGCCTTGGGGGAACTATGCTTGCTGTGAGGGACCTTTTCAGCAGCTTTTGGAATGGAGCCACCTGGGAGTGTGGAGCATGAACACAAAAAGGAGTAAGTTCAGATGAGAAGCGGTTCCTGGAGCACAACTGAAATACTCTTACATAGTTTAACAAATTAAGGAGCTCTTTCTTACATGGCAAAAAAACAGCCCCCAAACTTGCTGGGTGCTGCTGACTGACAAAACTGGGTAGTTGGATTCCTTGGAGCTTAGACTTTCAGTCGGAAATTACCATCAAGTGATTCCTCATGCCAACTGCCTGCAAAGCAAGAGCTGCCCTGTTGCAGTATTTCAGAGAATCCCACTAACTCCTCTGAACTTAAAATCTTTCCCTGTTGTGATTTTGTTGTTGTTGTTGTTTCACACCCCAAAAGCTGTGTAGGAGGCCAATGCTATCTCAGCTCCAAGCAATATGGGCCAACAGTGGTGTCCTGATGAACATGGCCTTTGCAGTACTTCCTTGTATTCCTTATTCAGCCGGAGATAAGTCAATGTTGGTACCAGAAATAACATTGGGTCCTATGCCATCCACAAGTGAATCCCACTTATCAAAATCTCTCTTAAGACCTGTAAAATGGGGGAAAGAAAACCCAAATGGTAATGAGTTACACAGATCTATACTGAAAAACGACACAAGAGATGAATCCCAGCATGGCCTGGGTTCAAAGGCCCACAGCGCTCCTCCAGCTCCAACCCCTGCTGTGTGCAGGTCGCCAACCAGCAGCCCAGGCTGCCCAGAGCCACATCCAGCCTGGCCTTGAATGCCTGCAGGGATGGGGCATCCACAGCCTCCTTGGGCAACCTGTGCCAGTGCCTCACCACCCTCTGGGGGAAAAAATCCCTCCTCAGATCCAACCCAAACCTCCCCTGTCTCACTTTAAAACCATTCCCCTTGTCCAGTTTGGAAAAGCAGGGAGTGCAGTTGTGCACACCAGCACAAGGTGTTGAAATGTAGATGTTCTTCCTCTGAGTTGCTTAAGTTATAAAAATAACAGAGCTCGAGGAAAAGTCTGTGGTATTTTTCTGCTCAGATTTTTATGAGGCTCTCACTTTTGATCTTGTACTGAACAGCGGTTATTAAATAAAAGCTTCATAGGAATTGAGGTTTGATTCACACCACACTTTGATATAAACTGACACTTACTCAGATGTTTCTGCAGGAAGGCTAATGAAGCGTGATTGCATATATCAATAGCTTCATTTGGATCTATTTCTCCTTTTAACTTGAAAAACTTTCCAATGATTTCTCCACTCACAAAAGTAAAATCAGGAAAGCTCTGATGTACCGATCCCCTGCAAAGAGAAATGAGCAACAGGTTTGTAGGAACCACAGAATAGTTCAGGTTGGAAAAGACCTTAAAGATCACTGATTCCAGCCACAACCCAGCCATCCTACCCCAACTCTAACAGCCCTCTGCTAAATCATGGCCCTGAGCACCACATCCAAATGGTTTGAAACACAGCCAGGGATGGGGATTCAACCCCCCACCACAGGCAGGGCCACCAACCTCCCCATTTCACAGCAGCCCAGGCTGCCCAGGGCCCCATCCAACCTGGCCTTGAACACCTCCAGGGATGGACGGGGCATCACAGCCTCTCTGGGCAGCTGTTCCAGCACCTCACCACTCTCACAGCACACAACTTCCCTGACATCCAACCTCAATCTGCCCTCCCTCAACTCCAAACCATTTCCCCTTGTCCTGCTGCCATCTCCCCTTTCCAAGAGCTGACTCCCCTCCTGTCTGCAGGCTCCCTTTAGGTACTGCAGGCTGCACTGAGGTCACCCCGCAGCTTCTCTTCTCCATGCTGAACAAGCCCAGCTCCCTCAGCCTGTCTTTGTAGTGGAGGTGCTGCAGTCCCCTGAGGGGCTCATGAGGGCAGAGCAGAGAGGGACGATCACCTCCCTGTCCCTGCTGGCCACCCCTTAATTTAAATGTGAAGCCTTGATGAAGCAGGGCCTGCCATTCTTGCAGCCACATGCAACTGAACAGCTCCAACATGAGGATAAATTTTGGAAACAAAGACTCATCTTAGGCTTCATAAAGGGTGGATCCACGGCACTTACTTGATGGTGATCATTTTCTTGTTTGTATCATTGGAGCTAAGCTTCCTCATCTTTAAGATATTGGAAGCCCACTGGAATTTTTCAGAATTGATGAAGAGCAGTGGTTGCTGCACGCTGCTTTGGTAAGTGTCATCGCCTACTGGGAGCATCCATGCATCAAGGGCAATGCCACACCTGCCAAAAACAACATCTGGGTGTTATCACAGGCACACAGCTTTGATTTGCAGCAGACATGGGAAAAATCTGAGGATACCCAATAGGTAAACGTTACTGAATCATTTTGTAGCAAAGTGTTTCTTCTCTCAGGGAAGAGGATCCATCCATTATTCTGTTTGCTGGTCTGCCAGCACTCAAGGAATCACAACAAACTATGAGCTATTAAGTTCCACCATATCCCCAAAGCTAACTGAAGTATGAGCTGAGAAAATGAGATGTGCCAAGCAGCTGTTCTTTAAGAGCCAGTTAATGGGACCTTAGGTAAGGTGCCCTGCTCAGGTGCCAAGTGTCCCTTCCTTTGTTTTACATACTTACCTAAATCTAATTTCTTTGCTGAGACTCTCAATAACTGTAGCACCACCAAAAGAGTGTCCCATCACAGCTATCCTGCTAGTATCAACAGAATCCTGCCAAAAGAAAGCCAGCTGCTGTAAGAGACTTCTTTTTTTTCTCAATCTGAAGTGTTTTTTAAAGCAATAGATCCTAATGAATTTGGAAGAGCACAGTTTCAGCTCCATACAGGTGACCTGAGAACATGTTCATAGATCTACAGTTAGACATTCAGAATAGTCTACAAGCAGTTAGAAATGGCAGAGGGAAACCAGAGCTGTGGCTGGGCATGTAACAGAAGGAAGCTACCAGCTCTCACTCACCTTCAGGCGGTTCCAGTCAAAGTCTGAGTTCAGCACATTCATCACTTCCTCTCCTGAATTGATTTTTAGAATGAGGTTGAGTGCTTTGATGCACTCCTCTGCTCTCTGCTGTACCTGGGAGACACAGATGGGGCAGAACAGAGGAATGAATTGGGAGTTACAGGGTATCTGCTGGCTTTGCTGGCCCGCTGTTCATTTAGCCTGATACTGTACCTCAGTGGCTGGCACAGTAAGCCCTTACAAACTGAAGGCTGGCTGTGTGAAACAAAAACCTGACAAGTTTTGTTCAACGTGAAATCTGGATTTTGGAGGCCCAAAAATGCTGAAGCTCTTATGTAGATCCTCCACACACACAGGAATTTGTCCCATCAACACAGGCCTAAAACCATCAACCCCTGCTCTCTGACTTCTCACAGAGGAGGTACAGAGATGTGCAGAGGCTTATGTTACACAACCACAAGAAGGGCTGACTTGTGCCTCTTCCTCATGCTCACTTTGGTAAGCAAACACCATTGCATCACTTTGCCCCATCTCAACAGCTCCGAAGCCATCTTTATGCTGGATATACCCGGAACAGGAAACAGCCTACAAGCCCTTCCTATTTTCAATGCATACACACTGATGAAAAACGTATTAAAGCTGTTGCAGATACAGGACTTAAGTGTTCAGTATGGCATGTGGTATGGATTTTGATATTTTGGTAGAAGAAAAACTTCAAAAAGAACCAAAGAGCAGCAGAGTCTTTGGGAACAACTGACTGCACCAGCCAGCAGGATGTCCTGAGTTTCAAGTAAATCTCCATCTCCTAACTTCTTGACTGGTGACATACACAGGCAGCAGCTCCTGCAGTTTATTTACAAGCTCCAATGTGATATATTTAGCCCCATTTAGGAGGATGTTGTTATGCACACAGGAAAGCACACTCATACTGCTGCCCATTTGGCCCAGTGAGATAAACACTTGTCTGGTTGAGTCTGCACAGCGTGCAAGAACACACTCCCACATTTTAAAGGTCAGGTCAGTGCTTGGAAGAGCTTATCTCTATGGCTATAAGGCATCCAGCGTGGATGCTGCTTATCATCAGGAAGTTGCATTCTTTACACTGCATACCCTCAACCACGTAAGTGTGTTGAAGGTGACAAAGCAAACATCCCCTTTAAAGCAGAGATGATTCATCTCGCTATCCAGCAATAAACAAGAGCTAAAAGACGGCTAAGGCTGCACACACATCTGAATTCAGCTCTGTGTCCCTTAAAGACAAGGCTGAGCAGAACTGTGCAGAAATGGAGGAGAAGCAGAATATGGAGAGAAACAGAAAGAGGCGAAAGAGCTGACCAGGCATGGCAGCACCACCTCATGAGAAAGCTTTCCTGAAGAAGCAGTTGAGCATAGAAGCACAGAACGGTTGGAGCAGGAAGGGACCCCGGAGGCCATCAGCGCAGGCCTGCAGCGCACAGCACACCGCAGCTCCTCAGTGCTCAGAGCCCCGTCCCCTGGCCTTGGCTGCGTGCAGGACGGGGCAGCAGCACCTCTGGGCACCCAGTGCAGCGCCTCACCGCCTCACCGCCAGCGGCTCCTTCCTTACATCCAAAGCCTCTCCTTTATATGGAAGAAAGATGTTGTTGGCGTTCCCATCTTCAGCAGTTTTTTGTATACCCACAGAGCCGTGGCAGCAGCCTGCAGATGTAGCCTTGCTAGCATTACTCAGTGCTGACCACACAGCTCTCCTGCCCCATGCAGAGCACAGCCCTGGGCTGTACCTGCTTGTGACGCACACAGCGTTCCTCCTCTCCTGCTCTGAGCCTCCTGTAGTAGATCCACTCCTTCTCCACGCTTGATGCAGACTCCTCCTCTGGCTCAGAATCAGCCTTCTGTTTACAGAAATACGTCGCTGAAGCTGATTCATCTCTGAAATAACAGAAGGTTACGTCTGATGTTGCAGCCATTTGGTTTGGGAGCAAGTTCAAAGAAGCCTTAGTTCTGACCTGTCTCAGGAAATCAAAGCTCCCAACCCTGCTGCACACCCCACTGCGTGCAGACAAGACTTTCCAAACAATGGAGAAACCCCACCAGAACTCCCACCACCATTATGTTCTGTGGCTTCTAACAGTAACAGTGAGAAAAGGAGCGTGCTTAAAGAATGACGAACATAACTACCCACAACAATTTTCCCTCAAGGCGTCAAATTAATTCCCCTTTGTTCAGCTAGGTGGGAATAGAGCTAGACAAATGGGAAGCTGAAGCTGTTAGTTACTCTTTCAAAAAGAAAAGTTCTTCTATACAACAAGAAGCATTCTATTATGAGCAAGTTTCTTTCTGTCAGGACTCAGACGCAGTACACACACCTGTGCTCCACAGCTGCCACCAGAAAGCCTTGAGAAGCCATCTCTATGCAGATAGCAGAATAGATGGTCCTGCAATCAAAAGACACTCTGGTGACCACATGGACACAATTGTTTTGGTTGCCCAGCCCCTTAAACACTGACTGCGCCACAGACACACCAGCCCCCATTCCCTATTTTGTCTGTTTCAGCCAGCAGGGCAGGCTGCGTGTGTCAGCTCCCAAAGGGTGCTTTTGGCGATTGCTTCTTGGTGCTGCTCTGCTTTTAGTTGCAGCTCATCTTCACAACATCCTTATGGCTCAATAAATACCTACACCTCTAAAATACAATATGGCCAGGGTTGGAAGGGACCTCAAGGATCACGAAGCTCCAACCCCCCTGTGCCATGCAGGGCCACCAACCTCCCCATTTCACAGCAGCCCAGGCTGCCCAGGGCCCCATCCAACCTGGCCTTGAACACCTCCAGGGATGGACGGGGCATCACAGCCTCTCTGGGCAGCTGTTCCAGCACCTCACCACTCTCACAGTAAAGAAACTTAATGAGGAAACAAAGAAGCCAAACCTGCCTCATTTACAGGCCTTGATTTCAATGGAAGCACACTGATACACAGCACCCTGATCTTTGCATCGTGTTCAGCCCCACGGGGATCTCACCCCATCCTGAGACCCATTCAGCACCACTCCTGGACACTGACATTACTGTGGATGACCAAAAGAGTTTGCCAACAAGCTGCAGACTTACCGAAAAGCTCCAAGTCCATGGGAAAAAACAAGCAGTGGGTATTTTTCTCCAGGCTTAAAAGCAGCATTTGATTTTGCAGGACAGGTCACTGAACCTACATGAAAATGGAAGCACATGTCATTACTACTGAAACGAGAGACCTACAGACCCTCTCTGTAGGAGAGATCTCAGTAGGCTGCAGACTGCAGGTTTCAGAGGAGTCGTCTGAGAATCAGTCCAATTCTGCAAACACTTTGGAGACCAGAAGCACTCTTACCAACATAATACTGGAAAAGCCTTTCTCCCACGACCCGGTACACATTGAGGAAGTCAGACAGCCCCTGGTAGTACTCTTTATCCGGAATCCACGGCGTCTCTTCAGTATCTGTGTCGTCGCATGATGGATAATACAGGCGCAAAAAGCTTCCCTGGAATTAGCAGAGGAAAAGGAAGACTGCTGTTCATTGATGTATGGCAAAGAAAAGATTTACGACAGGGAAGGACTTCAGCTGCAAGAACAGCTCCAGAGAATTTAGAGAATGTTATGAGAAAATTATTGTCCAATATAAGCTAAGCTCTGATGGCAGTGCTGTGTCACCATCCCTCTGCTCCTGCTGTAAACTGCACACTGCAGCACAGAGCTCTGCAAGATCTCCCACAGACACTGCAATCTGCACTCATACTTCCCAGTCTGCAATGGGATGTGCAACAAGCACTTTGAACCCACTGTCCTGCTCCACCTGTGCCTTAATCACAGAATCACAGAATGGCCAGGGTTGGAAGGGACCTCAAGGATGACGAAGCTCCAACCCCCCTGTGCCATGCAGGGCCACCAACCTCCCCATTTCACAGCAGCCCAGGCTGCCCAGGGCCCCATCCAACCTGGCCTTGAACACCTCCAGGGATGGACGGGGCATCGCAGCCTCTCTGGGCAGCTGTTCCAGCACCTCACCACTCTGTGTGTGAAAATCTTTCTCCTAAACTTACATCAATTTGTGACACAAAGGCAATGAAGGAAGAAAGCAGCAAAGCTTCAGCCAGACAGGTAATTATATTAATTCAAGCCCAGAGCAGTCGCAGTGAATTTCCCCTGCAGAGCAACTGCTGAACAGAACAGGGGAAAGGTTCATTATCTATCACTAAGAATTGTAATGGTGCTGATTGCTTATCTAAGGAAAAGACGCGGGCTGACTGCAAAGAGAAATCAACCCTTTTTGGTGCTGTAAGAGAAGCCAGGGGGAGCAGAGCAAAACCCATGGCCGAGCTCTGCACGTGGGTGATACCTCACAAGTGTGGAGAGCAAAACTGCAGAGCAAGATTAAAAAGCAAGTGGACATGAAACAGAAACTCGTAAGCAAGCCCATCAGCTGGCTACCGCCGTTCCTGTCTTATCGTGCTGTCTTTCTGCCCTACCAACTGCAGAACTGACATCCTGTTCTCCGCGGAGATACCATCTCATGTCTCACGCTCTGTCCCAGCTGAAGCAGCGCACGCTCGTCACCCAGCCCCGCACCGGGACCCTCTTGAGCACAGCACGCAGAAGGAGCCGCGCGGTCCGCGGAACCCACGCCTAAGGGCTGCCGCTGTCCCACCGTGCCGGGCTGGAAAAGCGCGTTCAGCCGAAGCGCGTCCGGCAGCCCCGCTCGCAAACCCGGCCGGCCGTTGGGCTCATCTCGGCTCCGTACCTCGGCCGCGTTGCCGGTCATCAGATCCGCGCAGCCCACGGCGTGCGGGCCCTTCCCGGCGGGGATCCGATAGCCTTTCTCCGAGCCGCCGCCGCCCATCTCCGCCGCCGCTTTCGCCGATAAACCTGGGGACAAAACACGGCGCATCAGGAGAGCCCCGGAACCGCAGGGAAGCGAGGAGCGGAGCGAAGGGAGGGAGGACGGACGGGCGGGCCCCGGGCGAGCACCCGGCACGGCGCTCGGCCCACCGCGGGGCGGCACCTCGGTGCGGCGCTACCCGGCTCCGCTCCGCCCGCACCCGCTGCCCGCCGAGCGCCACCGTCCCCGTTCTGGACCGGGGGAGGCGGGGCTGGCCGCGACCCCGACGCTCCTCCCCGGAAGGGCCCGGCGGCACGGGAGGCGGCAAGATGGTGCGCAAGCTGAAGTACCACGAGCAGAAGCTGCTGCGGCGGCTGGAGCTGGTGAGCTGGGAGGCGGCGCCCGGCAACCTGGCCGAGGTGCGGGCGCTGCGGCGGTACCGCGTGGGGCGGCGCGAGGACTACGCGCGGTACAAGGCGCTGGCCCGGGAGGTGCGCGCCTTGGCGCGGCGGCTGCGCGATCTGGGCCCGGCCAGCGCCGCCTTCCGCGCCCGCTGCGGCGCCGCGCTGCTGGAGAAGCTGTACGCGATGGGGCTCGTGGCCTCGCGGCGCTCCCTGGCCGTGTGCGAGCGCGTGTCCGCCGCCTCGTTCTGCCGCCGCCGCCTGCCCTGCCTGCTGCTGAAGCTGCGCATGGCGCAGAACCTGCGGCACGCCGTCACCTTCGTGGAGCAGGGCCACGTCCGCGTCGGGCCCGAGGTGATCACCGACCCCGCGCTGCTCGTGCCCCGCGCAGTGGAGGACTTCGTCACCTGGGCCGACGCCTCCCGCCTGCGCCTCAAGGTGCTCGACTACAACCAGGAGCGCGACGACTTCGACCTGGCGGCGTAGAGAAGCCGGAGCGGGGCTGAGACGCGCGGGGAGCCCTCCTGAGAGACCGCCGAGCCGTCCTGCGGCCCCCGGAGCCCCCCGGCCCTGACCTGCTCTGCTCCACTCCGCTCTGCCCGGAACGCACACGCGCTGAGTCCTCGTGGTGAGGCTGCCGGGCTGCCGAGCTCATCATCTGCCCACAGCTGTGCGGCTCCTCGCTAAGAGCAGCACTGGAGGAGCTTTGCACGTGGCCAAGCAGCCGCTGTGCTGATGTGCCCAGCTCTGCTGCTGCAGGGCTGCGTGGGAGCACCCCAGTGCTGCTCCTCATCGCAGCGCCGGCCCAGGAAGGTCTGTTTTAACCCGGAGCAGCGAGTCAGCAGGGGAACGCTGTGTGATCAGCAATGGACCAAATACTGGATTTTGGGAATTGTGAGAGTTTGGGCCTCAAATACAACAAACAAAAGTGAACTTGGTTTTCCTGTGAAGCCTTAGAGCTTAGGGCGGGCTGCAGATCAGTGCTGGGCGGCTCTGGGGCTGCTGGAGGTGTTACTCCTCATCCAAGAAAGGCAGAAATAAAAAGTCATGTTTTGGAAGAGCTCTGTGTGGAGTCATATTGCCTTTCCTGTTGGCATAACCCAGTGAGCACCGCTTCTCATCTCACAGAACTGCTTTTTGCCACAGCACCACAAGCAGTCTGCTAGGCTGCATTTGCTCATGGTTTTAGGCTGGAGAAGAGAAGGCTGCAGGGAGACCTCATTGTGGCCTTCCAGAACTTGAAGGGAGTGTGTAAACAGGAGGGGGAACGGCTGTTTGTGAGGGTGGGTGGTGATGGGACAAGGGGAATGGTTTTAAAGTGAGACAGGGGAGGTTTGGGTTGGATCTGAGGAGGAAGTTTTTCATGCAAAGGGTGGTGAGGCACTGGCACAGGTTGCCCAAGGAGGCTGTGGATGCCCCATCCCTGCAGGCATTCAAGGCCAGGCTGGATGTGGCTCTGGGCAGCCTGGGCTGCTGGTTGGCGACCTGCACACAGCAGGGGTTGGAGCTGGATGGTCTTTCAGGTCAACCCAGGCCATTCTATGATTCTATGAATAGATGCAGAAAAGACATTCCTTACCTGAAGCATGACTTTTCATGAACGCCTTCCGAGCTCTCGCCCACAGCGATGCCATCGCTTCTTAGGAAGAGCAGAGGGTCCCACAGCAGGGTGCAGGCAGGCAGCAGCCGGCTCACTGCTCTGCTTAGGGGGGTTGGGAATAGCACAGGGCTGCTCCCCAGGAGGTGGAGGCAGGATGGAAACCTGTGGCTCCACACCTCCAGATCCTTCCGCCCTGAAAGAAACCATTGCATCTTTTACTTGTGCACCAGGGGTTACCACTGCCAGTGCATCTCTTTGTAAAGGTTTTTTTCCTCTGACTGTTCTGTGCTCTGCTTGGAGGGGAGGAGCTGGCCTGGGGACAGAGGGGGGGATGGAAGGGGAGTCCTTCACACTAAGGTCTTTGTGTCGGGACAACAAGGCTGAGGCTGTCACTGGAATACAAATGTGCTGTGCTCAGCTGCTTTTCCAGTCAACAGAAACTCTGCACGTGGAGGCAGCCTCCAAACCCCGGCATTTCAGTGAGGGTTGACAAGGAGATATCCCCCTCACAGCCCTGTGAGCGCAGGGTGGATTCACACATCCACTGGGTGTGGGGAAAAGCAACCCACAGCTGCAGGGCAGCATTTACCTGGGAGCAAATGGGGCAGCCGACTGCCACTGACAGCTGGAGGCAGAGGGGGTGAGCTCTGGTTACTCCTGGAGCTGCCCTGAGGGCACCTGTGTGACCCCTGTGTGAGTCCCAGGGCTGTGTCATGAGGAGTGCTCTGTGCTGCACTCTGCAGCCTCTCTTGCCCAGAGAGGCTGTGATGCCCCGTCCATCCCTGGAGGTGTTCAAGGCCAGGTTGGATGGGGCCCTGGGCAGCCTGGGCTGCTATGAAATGGGGAGGTTGGTGGCCCTGCATGGCACAGGGGGGTTGGAGCTTCGTGATCCTTGAGGTCCCTTCCAACCCTGGCCGTTCTGTGATTCTGTGATACTCTACCCCAGATTCTGCCCAGAAGAGCAAGAGAGGGTAAAGTCCAGCAGGCGCTGGTGGCAGATCCTTCTGCAGAGGGACAGTGCATAGCTCAGCACATGAACACGGATAGCTCATGGGGCTCAGAACACTGAAGAGAAAACGTCCTGAGGGGGCTGTGGCTGCCTGTCTGCTCTGAAGGAGTTGGGACAGGAGCTGCGATCTCCCAGGCTCCCAGAGCTCAGGTGAGACGGAGCCCCCAGGACGTGCAGCCAGTGGAGCAGTGCGCACACGGCAGCACCCCGTCCCACTCCGCCTCTCGCGGTGCCGGGCGCTCCCTGGACACCCGAAGCCACACTCGATACCGCGCAGTTTCCTTTCCTCCCACCTAGCGGAGCCGCTCGGCACCGCCGCGTCCCCCCCCCCCCGCTCAGCCGCACCCCCCCTTATCCTTCCGCATGGATTTGGGTGGGGTAAGAAGAAGGCTGCGAGCTCGGTACGACCAGCGCTCCTCCCCGCCTCTCTCAGCACCGCCGTCCCCTCGCCCTCGTTGCCCACGGGCAGCGCTGCCCGTACCTGCTGCGGTGTCCCGGCCTTCTGCAGGGCGCCGTGCGCCGCACGGACGGACGGAGGACGGACGGATGAGTGCCGGGCGCTGCCGGAGGGGAGGGACCAAACTCCGCCTCACTTCCCAGCCGGGACGGTGTTTGTGGGAGAGGCTTTCCCTGAGCCTGGAAAGGAGGCGTGCCTCGTGGGAGCTGCGCCGGTACGCGCGGCTGGCCGCGTCCCGTGGCGATGGGAGCACCGCGTTGGGGCGGCTTGTCTCAGGGACGCTGCAAAATCCGGCTTTACAAACCGAGGCCAGAATCCCGTTAGAAGTGAGCCCCGCTTCTGAGTGCCGTTTGTGGGGTGGTTGGAGCAGCTCGGGGCCCCATGGGTATTGCAGATGTGCCCCGCGCGGTGAGTGCCCTGCACTGCGCTGACTCGCAATACGCTCAGTGGGGGCGGCACGGTGGGAGATAACCCCAAATCCCAAAATAATAACAAAAGAAAACTTTGAACGATGCCTGCGGTTCTCTGGAAAGGAACTGGAAAGCCGTGAAAGTGCCCAAGGCTTGCTTTTTTTTTTTTTTTTTTTTTTTTTTTTTTTTTTTTTT